AGGGGGGGGGGGGGGGGGAGCGGGGAGCCGATGGCAATGCCATGGCCGGCGGGGCAGCACCTGGCAGTCAGGATCAACCAGGAGTCGAGATCGTTTCATGAGTTTGTGGGGATGAGGCAGGTTGGAGGTGAAGCTGGGAAGTCAGTCCACAGGTCAGGATCAGGTCTGGTGAGGGTAGCCAGGGTCAGACACAGCCCAGCATGCTGGTCCATCATGTGGGAGCACTCTGAGGCCAAGCTGAGGAGTCAGTCCATGGGTCGGGTGTCCAGACCAGTGGATCCATGGCCAGTCCGAGGCATGGCTTAGAGCATGCTGGAGACCATTTTTTTTCCTGCTTTAGAGGAGTGGGCAGGGACTGTAGGCTCAGCCTTGAGCTGAAAGGGAGCTTCTGGCTCCATAGGGGGGGGCCCAGGTGGAGGATATAAAGGCCACTAAATGCTATTAGGAACCTTGAAACCTTGATACAGTGTCTGTTTGTTGTTGGATTCCCCAGTTAAATAACTGTCTGCTTGTACTGCTGATTTTTTTTCCCTATAGAGATAGCACTTCAACAGAATAGGAAGCAGAATGGATGAATTGCAAATGCTTGTGATTAATCCACGATATATGGTTTTCTGCTGAGCATGTACTGTATTTATGCTAAAGTTATCTATACACCTATTTTCTATCCCAAAGACAAACATCATAACGTGAAGTTACGTTGCATATAGAGGAAGTACTTTGGCCTTTAGAGCTCAGTCTAAAGAAGATAAAGCCATCTAAAACATTCCTCACACTGTTAATTTATACATTTCATAATTTAAAAAATAAATTTCACCACTCCTTTCATTAATACAGTTGAGATTTTCAAATGTGCACTTGATACCAGAGAGGTAAATGAGGATCATTTAGTTATCCTTTGTATTTTTGATAGCTGTACTGACTGAGAACAGGGAAAATGTCAATCACAGCAATAGATACTTCTGGTTAAATCTTTCTGTTCTGTGAGGGTAGGTTAAGTTGAAGTAGAACACATGGATAACATATCTGCAATTCCAGTTACTTTAGAGGTCTGTAGTCCTTTTTATTAAAGGAAACTTAAATATAGAGTAATTAATTTCTATTTATAATATTCATGCGCTTTGGTGATTATAAGTAAACAATAATGAAACATTACAAGTTATGCAAAATGAAATTATATAACATGATTCTTTAACAGGTACTACGTTCATGGAAAGAATATGAACTAGCCGTAATTATTGTTAACTATGGGAAAAAATTGTTGGATTCCTCGCCAGCAACCTCACCCCAACAGTCAGCAGCTATGCAAACGAAAGAAACACACACTAACAAAGAAGTTAAAGTAATTGCTCTGATCTTCACATTTTCTTTTCTCTAAATACTGTGTTCTGTTATTTTGAAGACCTCATTTATTAACTTTTTGGTTTAGAAGTTACTGTATGAAAGAGTTTCCTTATAGAATAAGAGTTCCCAAAGTACAGCTGAGAGACTTCTCCCTAGTTGTAGCCATCTTTGTTAAGACCAGTTGCAGACTGTAGTGGGTACAGGGTCTCATCTTGTTGAACTTGAGAGGGGTTAGCAATATTACAGTTCAGAGCCATGGGGATCCTGCAGATATTTATACAAGCATCTCTAACTGAGCTTGACATAT